GACTTTTTTTCAAATATAGTATGTACATACATATATAAGTATACCTCCCACATATAGTGCATTAATTAAGTTTCTATAACAACTATTTAAATATCAAATCCACAATCTACTCTAATAGAAATRAACAACGCAAAACCGTAGAAAGTCTTCAACGTCGTCTTCCCTGCGTACTGAAAGTACAACTAATTACATAAGGGGTCAATTCGAGTATTTTTACAAATTGCATTTTATTAAATATATCTGTGCAATTAAACGCTATTTTATTTTAATAATGTAACTGTAATTGTATTTTTAGAGCCAATAACGACTTTTTATTTCCACAAATTTTTATTTTCTGGTAAATTTAATATTTTTATTAATAGCGATATCTGTTTTTTATAATAAAACAAAAAGTTTTAAACTAAATAATTTTATTAATAAAGACTAGAAGTTGGAAAATATCAAATTTGTTTTATTTTTGGGTAAAACCAGATCCGATTTGTATAAAGGAAAATGCTTCTTTTTAATAAAAAGAATGTGACTAGAGCTTAGAAAAAATATTTTCAGCTGAAAGCTTTCTTAAAACGCTTTCATTTGATACTCATATTGTAGAATATATTTCTCATTTTTTTTAAATTAAAATATTCAACCRTTTAACAACTCCTGTCTATAGTAAGTACGACAAAAATATTTTTAAAAACTTAGTTTAAACTTATTCGTTACACTAATATGGTAAAATTTCACTTATATTATAAATTTTGTTGAAACAACTTAAACAGGTGGCAACGCTTTTAAATTTTTTTAAAATTTGCATAAGTTTTTACCAATCCCTTCAGTTTGTATTGTGWATTTATTTAATTTTTTTCGATTTTGAACCAAGTGGCAACGCTTTAACTTAAATTTTTTTAACCATCCTTTATTCATACAGAACAAGCTAAACAAACACAATTCAAATTGAATCAGTTATCACTGAAGTGRCTCCTATCGATTTCACTGCCGTGCCTAGAGGCGTTTCACTTAATAAGATTGTCACCAGTCGCTTCTTTCAAAAAACTCTAATTGTCGCTTAGATAAAATCATGCTGATAACGGCAAAAAGGTTTGAACATAACATGTAATTTCTAGCTTCATTTCTAGCTGCAACTTTTTCAGGTTACTTTCTTTAAATAGAGCCAAAGAACCGTCTTATCTACCATGACTTGTCTTYTACGGAGGCAAGTACTAAATTCTTATTTGATAAGATTAGTTAAATCAGGTATTTGCGAAAAAAAAAACTTTTTGGCAATCTTGTACTCCAAACGAATAAATGTACTTTTGGAAACGACATTTTTAGCATTTCTAAATTGTAATAAAAGCGATTAGTCGGAGAAATTAAACTTTTTATTCAAGCGGACAGCAACCGMGAAGTTGACTGCAACCGATTTTAAGGTTTACCGGAAAGCGCACTTACCACTTTCTTCGAATTTTTATGCTCTTCGATCTCTAAGCCTCTAGGCCTAGACGTAGAGATCACGCACTCAGCGAGACACCCTAGTGGAGATGATAACTTTTTGGGTTCAGTCTACGAGTACTAGACTGTTTAAAACCAAACAAGGTTAAAGGTTTCCTATTTTCTAATATATTAATTTAACAAACTATTATAAAATAAAAAAAAGTATTGCAAATTTATTTATTTATGAAAGCGTACAGTTGAAATTTTTATTAAACAGGGTTGCCAGCTTTTCAAAAAAAAATTTATTTTTACGATTGCAAAGAAATTTTATGATTTAGTTTTAAATTAAATTAAATAAATTTCAGAAGCAAATATTTTGAAACTTTACATAAGTATGT